CCACCCTGCCGGTGCCTGGGGTTAGGGTCCGCTGGGGTTGAGGCACAGTCCTCTGGCATGGCATCCCGGGGGCGGCCAACACGTGAGGGTTAACCATGCCCAATATCGGGGGGCGGGAGGTCGAGAAAGACAAGCACCCCCCCCCCCACTCTGGCTCTGAAGGCGGCCCCCTGGCCAGCTTTTGGCTCTGCTTCTCGGGGCTCCGCTCAGGCTCCCCCGCCCCCACCCTGAACCTGCAGAAAGAACCATGGCTCCGTGCAGACAGTCAAGCCACCCCCCGCCCGCTGCGGGCCTGAGGCTGTGAGAGAAGCCGCCTCCCTTCCTGCTCCTCCTCCAGGCTAGCGCCCCTCCCCACCCCGGCCCCCTCGCCCTAGAAGCCTCTGGTCGGCCGCTGTGGAGGCGATGCAAGCGCAGGGCCCGCTCCTGGCAGGTGAGGGCGCCCCGCCTGGGGCGTCTGCCTCTGCGTGGTGCCCAGGCAGGGCCTGAGGGTGGGCGCCGCACAGGGAGCGGACCGGAGAGTAGACGGTCGTGTTAGGTCAGAGTGGGCGCACATTTTAGCTTGGGGAGTCGACCCTGGGTGGCCGCGCTGCCCGGTGTCCTCAGGGTCCTTTGCCCTCTTCCTGGGCGAGGGTCCTGAACGTGCCCATTCTCAGCACGTGGTTTCTGCGGGGCCCAGGTGGGCGGGGGGGCGCTCCCCACCCCAGGAGGGCAGCCCCCGAGGCAGCAGCGGTTCCTGGGCCTGCCTGGGCCCCCTCCAGCAGCCTCCTGCGCGTGACTCAGCCTCCCCGGGCTCACTTCCCTTGAAGGCTCAAGGCTCCGCTCAGGCTCCGCAGGGCAGTGACACATCATCTTGACATCAGGCCCTTTTCGCTCCACCCCCAACTATTCGGAGGGATGGAGGCCAGGAGGATCCCCCACATGTGGCTGCCACGTGGGCTCTGTGCGTGCAAAGCAGGAGCGGGGGACGGGACCCCAGCGGGGTGCAGCTCCGCTGAGCCCCCCGCGCCCCGCTGCTGGGGGCTCCCAGCGGGCCCACAATGGGGCCCATCACTATGGTTTGAGGCAGCCCAGCATCCGGAGGACCGGCCTGGCCTAGGATCTGGAGTCTTCCCTGCAAGGCTCAGCCTCTTGAACCCACGGGGTCCGGTGGGGACCGGGAGGGAAGGTCCAGAGGCCCGGCCCACCCCGGGCAGACCCCTTCTGAGTCAGAGGCCACTAATGTTTACAGGCTGCCTGGGAGCCAAGAATCCGGCTTCTTCCTCGGCACATGTCGCGGGGCGGATTCTCCCTTCAAGGCCGCTGCCAACTGGTTAGAACGCTTTATGGAGGCCGCACTCTGCGCCCGACACTGACGTGGCCGACGGCAGGGGGGTCCCAGCCACAGGCAAGCACTGAGTACATGGAAGAGCTATTTGAATTCATGAGAAGTTCTATAAGGAGAAGCAGGCTGACCTGGGTGCTGGGAGCGGGTGCGGACACAAGGGAGGGAGAGACGGGCAGGGAGAGGAGGGAGGCAGGCTGGCTCCGTGGGGGGGGTGGGGGGGCTTGGCAGGGGTGGGGGCCTCCCCCTCGCTCCATGAAGCCGGCACAGAGGGAGAGGCCACCGTGGCTGGGGAGTCCAGGTCCCTGCTGCGGGGCGTGCAGGGCCGAGTGGCCGGAGAGCGCTCAGAGCAGGGAGGTCAGCCCGGGGGAGCGGTGTGGGGGGGACGGCGGAGCAGGGCGCCCCCTGAGGAGATGGTCCGAGGAGGGCAGACAGCGCGGGGCTGCAGGAGGCTGCCTGTCCGGGTCTGCGCCGCCCGCACGGCTGGATCCCGGTGGGAGGCTGCCTGCGTGCGAAGCCCTCCCACCAGGACTCCCCCCCCCCCGGAGGCGGGGACGTCGGCCCACGGCCACGGGGGCCCGGCCCCGCGGGAAGAGCCCGTTGCTCTGGGGGTTGATGGGTAGACAGCCGGGTCCCAGGAGTGGTGTGCTCCTGCTCTCTTGGGTCGCTTCCAGCCGCCCCATCTCCGCGGGGTGCTGGCGCTCCGGGCTGGCTAGGAAGGCGGTGCTGGCCCCCACTTCCCTTCCCAGAAGCTACCCGGCAGCCCTGAGCTGGCCCAAGCGGCACCTGCCCTCCACAGTCGGCAGCCAGCCCGGCCACCTGCCTGCCTTGGGGGGACAGTGCCCCCCCTTCCCCACCTTGGATACCGCACAAGTTCAGGGCGGGGGCAGACAGGGCGGCTGAGAGAGCTGAGGCTAATTGCAGGTCAGTACCAACCTTGGAGCCAGGGAGCTCGCAGGGGGTGAGGGGCTGGGGGTCCTCAGAAGGGGTGGGGGTGACGGGAGCCTTGGGGTGGAGGTATGATGGTCTTAGAGGGGGTGAGGGATGACCGGGGATCTCAGAGGGGGTGGTGGGGTCTCAGAGGATATGAAGGTATGATGGTCTCAGAGGGGGTGAGGGGGGATCAGAGGGGTGAGGGAGAGGGTGTCTGAGAGGGGGTGGGGGTGTGGTGGGGGGTCAGAGGACGTGAGGGGTGAAGGGGAGTCAGAGGGGTGAGGGAGAGGGGGGCTCAGGGGAGCACCCTGCCAGAGGAGCTCTGTGAGGATCTGGAAAGGAGAGCCTCCTCCGTGTGCGTGGGGGGGGCATCCAGTGGGGGCAACAAATGGGAAGGGACCTGGCATCTCCTCCGGGGCCGGGACGCCCACCTCACCCGAGACCCTGAAACGGTTTGTGGGCTGTGACTGGCGTTTGGGAAACCAGAGGGAAAATGTTTGAGCGCCGTATTCCGGGGGGGGGGGGGGTGCTCCCCTGACCCTTTTCGTTTCACCCACACGGATGGGTCCTGGGCCTTGAAGCGCTTCCTGTGCGGGTCTGGCTCGGCCGCACCCCAGTCTCTGCCCCAGGTCCCGCTCAAGGGCTCTGCGGGGGGGGGGGGGCCTGGGGCGGCAGGGTGGGCCAACCAGACCCCCCAGACAGCAGGGAAGGCCGGGGGAGGCTGCGGGGTGCACGGTCCCAGACTCGAGCCCGGGCTGCTCTCAGGACCTCACAAAGGTGCCTCAGTGGGGCTCCAGGCGCCCTTCCCCTTGCGTGAGGAGGCAGACGGCTGTGCTCAGGAAGGAAGCGGTACCAGGAGGTGCCGCTGCCCCGCCCCCAGCCCCCCAGCAGGGACCTCAGAGCCCCACTGTGTGGCGGTGGGGCCATTAGCACGCTAGCACAGAGGTCGCGGGGTGTCCGCTGGAGGTGACAAGTCTGCCTATCTGAGCAGGAGACTGGCTGGGGCCCCTGCCCCGGACACAGGTCCCCACGCCAGGGCCAGACACAGGCAGGACGTGTGGTGACATAGGTGGCTTCTGGAGCGCCCGTGCCCCTGGGGCTGGACCCTGCGCCTTCCCGAGCTTGTATGGGAGGCGCCCCAAGGACAGAGATGAGGGCCCGCCAGCTGGGCAGGTCTTCGGAATCTCACCGAGTACCTTCAAAACCGGGCCAACTTTGTGTCTTCTCCCTGACAGTTAGGAGACCTGGGGCCACACTGGGGCCAGCCAGTGAGTCACACTCCCAGACACCCAACTGCGTGCGGCCTCCGGGCAGCTCGTCCCCCCTCCCGCCTGCAGGTCAGCCAGAAGGGCAGCAACTCTTCCCTGCTGTGCTGGGCCCAGGTGGGAGGGGGGGAGCGGGCCCCATGGCAGCACCCGGCTGGGGGGGGTGGGGAGCAGGCCCCACGGCGGCACTATGACTCTGTAGAGCCCTGAGCTGCCTTCCCCGCAGGTTCTGAGGATTCTGGGCATGTTTGGGGAGGGGGGCAGGGGCGGGGCGGGCGGGGCAGGCAAGAAGGGAGGATCCCAGTGGTCCGTTCTGGAGGGCTCGGGGTGGCGGTGTCCGTGGACCTGGCTGGCTTGTGGTCGGAGGGGCCTCAGAACCTGGGGGTCACTCACAGAACAGAGAGAAGAGCAGACTCCTTAAAAAAACAAAAACAAAAACAAGAAAGGAGAGAGCGGCACTGGCGGCCGAGAGCGTAAACACACGGTGAGGGGCCCGGACGCTTCGGTTCCCGGCACGAGCGCCCTTTCAGAGTCCTGAAGAGACGAAATGGGATAATTGGGTGGAATGTTTCTGTTTCCAGCTGGAATCTGTGCTCCCGCTTCCCCTAATGGACTGTGGCCTGCGGGTCCCCAGGGGGCTGTGCTGAGGAAACGCGCCCCCTCCCAGCCGCAGGCACTAACGAGCCTAATGGGTCTAGATGTTTCTTCCCTTCCTGTGTGGGGAGGCTCAAGGAGTAGAACCAGCCCAGGAACCCGCCCTCCCTTAGCACCCCTGAAGGGCAGGGAGCACCCGCTGCCCAGGGCCTGGTGCTTATGGGGTCAGGGAGGCCATGCCCACGCTGCCCCTCCAGGCCCGTCCAGCCAGGGGAACCGAGGGGGGGCTTGGTGGTGTGTCCCCTGGTCAGCATCTGGTCACTCACACGAGTGCTCCACGACCCCACGTGTGTGACAGCAGCACCCCTCTGAGCTGGGGAGACCAGGGCTCGCCCAGCACTCGGGCGCGTCCAGAGTCCGGTCCGTGCGTCCGAGGTCATGCCCTGGACACCAGGGCCCTGACCAGGTCCGGCCTGGGCCTGGGGGTTGGTCCCACCCCTCCTGGGCCGCGCTGTGGGGCTTGTCTGGGGGAGGGCACAGCATGGGGGTGGAGGGTGAGGCCTTGATGGAGTGGGGGGCGCTCAGTGCCACCTGGAGGCCTGCTCTGAGCGGTGGGTCTGGAGCTCTGAGCACAGAGGGCTCAGGGGGCCTTGCAGGTGGGACCGCAGGGCGCGGCAGCTGCGGCCGGCTCGCTGTGTGACCTCGGGCCGCCCTCGGGCCTCTGAGAGCCTTGGTTTCCCCACTTGTCCAGTGGGCGGGGGTTGGGCCTGGGGGGCGCCTCGGAGCCCCTGCATCCCTGGCCAGAGGCGGGCGGGGCCTCGCTGGCCCGGCTGAGAGGGGCGCCTTCCCTGCCAGCCCCCCTCATCCCCTGCTTCTCCCCGGCAGCCATGAACAGTACCTGTGACTCAGGTGAGCCCAGCTGGCCCGCCTCGGTCAAGAACGCCGTCTCCGCCTATGTGGGCCTGCTGCTGGCGCTCGGGCTGCTGCTCAACGGCCTGGCACTTTGGGTGTTCTGCTGCCGCATGCGGCGGTGGACGGAGACACACATCTACATGGCCAACCTGGCGGTGGCCGACCTCTGCCTCCTCTGCGCCCTGCCCTTCTTCCTGTATTTCCTGAGGGACACGGACAGGGACACGCCCTTCTGCCAGCTCTCCCAGGGCATCTACCTGGCCAACAGGTACATGAGCATCAGCCTGGTGACGGCCATCGCCGTGGACCGCTACGTGGCTGTGCGACACCCGCTGCGTGCCCGCGCCCTCCGCTCCCCCCGCCAGGCCGCGGCCGTGTGCGTGGCGCTCTGGGTGCTGGTGGCCGGCTCGCTGGTGCTCCGGTGGGCGCTGGGGGTGCAGGAGGGCGGCTTCTGCTTCCTGAGCGGCTCCCGGCACGGCTCCGGCACCACGGTCTTCTCCCTGCTGGGCTTCTACCTGCCGCTGGCCGTGCTGGTCTTCTGCTCCCTGCAGGTGGCCACTGCCCTGGGCCGGAGGCCGGCTGCCGACGCGGCCCAGGTGGAAGCCACCCGGAGGGCCATCCGCCTGGTCTGGGCCAACCTGGTCGTGTTCGTGGCCTGCTTCCTGCCCTTGCACGTGGTGCTGACGGTGCGCGTGGCCACGAGCCTGAGCACCTCCGCCCTCTGCCACGCCCTCCAAATCACCAGCAAGCTCTCGTATGCCAACTGCTGCCTGGATGCCATCTGCTACTACTTCACGGCCAAGGAGTTCCAGGAGGCGTCGGCACTGGCCTTGAGGCCCGCCGCCAAGGCCCACAGGAGCCAGGACTCGTTCTCTGTGACCGTGGCCTAGGGCACGTGGGCCAGGGCCCAGGCTCTCCGAGAAGTGCTGCCCTGGCTCACTGCGGACGGTGGGCAGCTCCAGGAGCCTGGCGGGTGGCGATGACCCACGTGTGGACCCTGCAGCAGTGAGCCCCCTACCCCTGGGGTGGAAGAGGGTCAGAGGACTGAGCGAGGTCAACCCCCGGGGCCCTGGGATGGGGCCAGCGCCAGCAGTGCCCAGGCTCTGGTCCCCTGGCGTACTGGGGTGGACACTCGCTCTGGGCTGGGAGGCCTCCATGGCCAGCTGTGTGCGGCCGCCCGGAGGGGGTGGGGATAAAGCTATTCCCCTGACCCTGTCAGGGCTGTGTGTGTGCGCATGTGTGCATGCATGCATGTGTACACGTATGTGTGTGCACGTGCATGTGCATGCACGAGGGTGTGTGCGTTTGGACACACATGTGCTGCCCACACTCGGATGGTGGGAGGCGGGAAGCCAGGGCGACTTCCTAGAGGGCTCTCCACGGGCCCTGCCACCAGCTTCCAGCCCCCCGCCCCACCCCCCCAGCTGGCTGGAGGTCTGGGGGCAGGGCTACTTCAGCTCCCGGTAGGGTGATGCTCAAGGCCCTCGGCCTGCCTTCCCCCTTGCGGGCGCAGGGCCAGGACCCCCTGACCCCTCGAAGGGGCTGCACAACCGCCATGCCAGCTGGGGTGTGGGCCGGGGGTGGCGAGGAGCTGGCCAGAGGCTGTCGAGGGGACCCACTGGCCTCGTGCTTCCTTCAGGGAAGACGGAAGACCCTGTCTGGTGGCCGTGGGGCTCGGATACCCGCCCAGGCACAAGTGTGGATGCCCGGGCTGGGGTGTGCTGTGCCCACCTCCCCTCTGCCTCCCTGCGTGGGACCCCGCCATCCACACTCAAGCTGGAGCGACCAGAGCCTTCCAGAGGGCGCCTGAGGCGCTGGTCCAAGTTGAGCTTGGGTTCAAACCCTACCCCACCTGCACCCCTCCGGGGCCAGAATGGCAGCCGTGGCCTGGCCCCAGGGGCCTGCGGACTCAGGGGGCCCTGCCTAGAGGGGTCGGTGCTGAGGGAGGCACTCAGGGCCTCGGGAAGCTTTAGCACACTGCGGCCCCACCCTGCCGGCCCCCAGGGGCGCTGCTCGCCCCCAGGCCACGGCTCGGAGAGGGTCTGTGTACACAGCCTCTCCCTCTGGCCTCCCCTGGCTCCTGGCCTGCGGAGACAGCTGGGCTTGCACAAAATTCCTGAAGGAACAAGAAACGGGGCAGAAGCAAAATCACAGGTGTTAGGCATCCCTACAACTGGCTTCTGAGCCCTAATCACGGCCCACACGCTCGGTATCCTACACCAGAGTCTGGCCTCTGGGCGGTGCCAGGCCAAGTGGAAGAGCTCCCTATCATGAATCTATGCACAGACCACCCCCAATCCTGGCCCAGAGGGCTTAGGGGGAAGGGGGCAGTCTGGCACACTGATCAGGATTGGGCTCACCATCAATCAGCAAGCAACAGGCATCTGAAAGAAAAGCAGATTCATTTTGAGGCTGAATCAACAAGAGTATAGGGCCCAGAATGTGGGAGGACACAAGTCATTCCCCCTCTGCCAGAATTACACGTGGGGTATTTGATCTGGTTAGGGCACTGCTCTGCACTGGGCCATAGTGACCCGCGAGACGGTCTGGAGGGTGCAGGCTGGTGAGGCCTTAGCAACCCAGGCCAGTTGACAACAGGCAGAGGAAGTATGTGCAGTCAGCTATAGTGAGGTGCCTCCCAGGAAACGGTGGCATCTGCGATCCCTGAGAAGCGCCCGGGTCTGGGTGGCTGCGGAGGACAGAACCCTGCACGGTTCTCAGAGAGAAGGGAGGGACTCAGAGAACTGCACAGGACCGAGCAGAATCTAAGTGTCCGATACCGTTCTTTTTTTTTTTGAAGGTTTATTTATGTTGAGAGCGAGCGAGCGAGCGGAGGAGGGGCAGAAAGAAAAGGGAAAGAATCCCAAGCAGGCCCCCCGCTGTCAGCACAGAGCCTGGGGTGGGGCTCGAACTCACAAACCATGACCCAAGCTGAGATCAGGGGTCGGACGCGTAACCAGTTGAGCCGCCCAGGCCCCCAGTGTCCAGTCAGGATCACACGGAGAGAGCGGGTGCCCTGGGAAGTCGGTGTCACTTGCCAGGGTCGAGCCGGCTGCACTGGCCTCAGGAGGGGAGGCCTGAGGGGGGAGGCCAGCCGTTAGCCACGCTTGTCTCCTCTTCTCCTGTGCCTCGGAGGAAACTCTCCTAAGAATAAGTGTCCATCGCCGGGGGCGGAGGGGGGGGCGTGTATCAAGCAGACACAGTGCAGCTGGGGAGCTGCAGGGTTTGGGGCACCCCAGGGACCCTGCGTCAGGGCACCCCCTCCTAGCAGGAAGGGGCGGCAGATCGCAGAGTTGCGCCAACGGGACGGTCAGTACTTCAGGAAACTACTGCCCACGAGTAACCTTTCAGATAAAGGCATCCGGAGTCTGAGCACGCTAGAGCCCGCACGGGGGGGCACGTCAGCCTCTCCACCTTGTGTGGGCACGCTGGCCTGCACCCGCCCCTGGCACCAAGGCGTCAGCTCCTGCCACATGCTCGGTGCGCCCCCCCACCTCCAAATCTGTGCGGCGGGCCGCCCTCTCAGGGTCCCCTGGGCACCCACCCCCCCGCCCCAGCTTCACAGGGTGCAACGTTTCCCAGATCCACAGGCTTCCTGGGCAGGGGGCGGGGGCGGCGGCTTTCTCTGGCTTCCTGATTCCTTCAGGGTCCAGGCCAGGTCCTGGGAGAGTGGACCCTCTGCCGGCCCCAACACCCCCGCCCCCAAAGAGCTCCTTACACAGGGCCTCTGGGGGTGCTGCTAGCGAGGCCAAGGCCAGGGCCATGCTGCTGCTGGGCAGGAAGACACCCCGCATCAGGCTGGGCTCCAGAAGCCTCTCCGAGATGGAGGCTTGCACACAGGGCTTTCCCTGAGGGTGCTCTTGGGAACCCCACTGGAAAGGGAGCTAGCAAAGTGGGATGGGCTGAGGGAGCTGCTGGGGGGCTCTGAGCACGTGGCTGACCACGGATGCACCCCCAGCAACCCCAGCCTCCACCCTGTCAGGCCAGGTGCCTGGACACCTGAGCTGCAGGGGCAGGGGCTGCTGGCCAAGGGGCTCCGGCTCCTCCAGCCCTGAACTGTGCAGGCTCCTTGCTGGGGTCTCCCAGCCAGCGCCAATCATGGACGCCCACAGGTAGGGGCACCCCGGCCAAAACGGGCCCGCCAGAAGCCCCCTGCAGCAGGAGCGGTGGCCCCGGGGAACACAAGGGCCGGAGAGGGGCGCTCTGACAACTGCACGCAGAGATGGGGCCACGCCCACTCGACAAGTACAGTGTAACCACAGCCTCGGGGCCGAGAGCAGCGCGCAGCCCAGCCGAGTCCCCAGCTCGGCCGTCCCAGATGGGTAAGTGCACCCAGGCCCGGCAGCCCCTGCTGTCCCCTCCGTGAACCCGGCCTGCCCTGGCCACGCCGCCACCAAACCGGGCGCCCAGGAGCAGGGCACTGGGCCTGGTGCCTTCCACCTGCGGACCGTGCCGGGCGCCAAGCTCCAGCAGGCGTCAGGGCGAGCGCTGAGGGGCAGTGTTTCTGTGGACGGACAGGGAGGGGGCCGTGGGGGACGGAGGCAGAGGGGAGGAGGAGAGAGATGGGAGACGCGGAGCGGGTGGGGGAAAGCTTGGGGGGGGAGGGGAAAAGAGGGCCCCAAGGAGTAAGTGAGCAGAGAGGGAGCAGAGAGGCGGCTGGGGTGAGGGGGAGCCGCAGAAGAGGGACGCTACCGGAGTCGGAGGAGAGAAGGCCGGGGTCAGCCCGCGGCCCCCGCTGCTCTCCAGAGGGGCTGGGGGGCTCCCTCTCTGCAGATCAGGACCCCCTGTGGCCCCTGCCAGAGGAGTCTGGGGGCCCCGCTCCGGGGGCCACAGGCTGATGGACCTTGGACAGGCCACGGGAGGTGGGGGCAGCAACGTGGCTACAGCCTCTGGTGGAGGAGCCCAGAGAGGAGCCCCCCGAGTCCCCTTCGTGGTGGGGGCCACCGACCACGGCTAGGAGTGCAGACCCTCTGGGCGGGGCAGGCACTGTCCCCCCCCCCCACTGCCCTCTGAGGTCATGAGAGGGAGCCCTAGGCTGGCACAGGAAGCAGGGGAAGAGATAAGGGGGGAGGGGGGAAGTGGGCGGGGGGGGCTGAAGGAGGAGGGGTGACCACAGCAGCCTCCCCCTGCCCCCGGGTGAAGCAGGCGTGCCCACCGACTTCCCACCCGCTGCGGCTGCCGGGCTGCGGGCCACGGTGGTGGCCGCTGGCCCCGGGAACAGGTCCGAGGGCTGCAGCACAGAGAGGAGCGCCCTGTCCCAGGCGGCCACCAGCGTCTCCGTCTACACCATCATGGCGCTGGGGCTGCCGCTCAACGGCCTGGGGCTCTGGGTGTTCTGGTGCCGCCTGCGCGGGTGGACGGAGACCCGCGTCTACATGGCCAACCTGGTGGCGGCCGACTGCCTGCTGCTGCTGAGCCTGCCCGGGGTCCTGCACACGCTGGGCCAGGCGGCCGGGGCCCAGGAGGGCGCGCTGTGCAGGGTCCTGCAGAGCTTCTACTACGTCAACACCTACATGAGCATATGCCTCATCACGGCCATCGCCGCCGACCGCTACGCCGCCCTGCGCTTCCCCTTGCGGGCCCGCGCCTGGCGCGGCCCCCGCCAGGCCGCCCTCACCTGCCTGGCCCTGTGGCTGCTGGTCTTCGGGGCCGTGGCCCTGCCCGCGTCCTGGCTGCGCGCCGGCGAGAGCTTCTGCTTCGGGCGCGGCCGCACCCGGGGCTCCAGGACCCTCCTCTTCTCCCTCCTGCTCTTCTTCATCCCGCTGCTGGTCCTCGGCTTCTGCTCCGGGCAGGTGCTCCGGCACCTGGCACGCACGCGCGCGCGGGCACCACCCCAGGACGCCGCCCGCGTCCTGAGGGCCCTCCACGTGGTGGCGGCCAACCTGGCCAC